TGTAAAACTTGCCATTTTTGGGGCAGTTTGATTGTTACTTATTCAGGAGTTTGGTTAGATCCTGATTAATGTCATAGAGGGGTGAAATATGTGGAGAATATTTTGCAAGACTCACATAGCTGGGGGAATGAGAGTCTAGCCGTGAGAACAGGCTGCACAAACCCCTCTTCACTTTTGTGAGGAGTCAGCTAGGGAGTTGCTAGGATATAGATGGGGTGGGAGTGATGCAAGAGAAATATGAAAAGCAGAAGTCCTCCCGAACTTGTTATAATTCCTTACAGTTATATAGTGCTTTAGTGGACACTCCACTCAAAGACTTTTACATATAATGGGTGATTCCCCTCCCTTCCCTGACATCTGGATGATGCAACAGCAACCACAGTGCGCCAGTACACTCACCAGGGGAGGAGAACAGAGTGAAGAAACCAATTTAGAGATGAGGATTATTAGGAGCCCATGATTGGTAAAAGCCAATAGGAAATATTGTCCAGGACACCAGGGTAACACCCCTACTCTTTTCAAGAAACACCCTGGTATTTTTAATGACCACAGAGTCAGGACCTCGATTTTACATAAAGGCCGTGCCTTTTTACAGTATAGTATCACAATACTGGGGCATTAGGACCCACACAGACTGCAAGGTGAGCACCCCCTACTGACCACAATAGCTCCTCCTCCAGCAGCAACTTCAGCTTTCCCAGGAGGTCTCTCATCCAGGCACTGATCAGGCTCACATCTGCTTAACCTTAGTGGGTTACCAGTTGCAGGGTGATATAGCTGCTGGCAATTTCTGCTATAAATTTATGTTACAAATTCCTTTTATTACACTGTCCACAACACAAAAAAACATGTTGCGGTAGATGACTTGTGGTATCCAACCCTCTGTTTATAGTAACTTCCACAAACATGAGTGATGGTAAATTGATCAGAGAGCCCTAGAAGGGAGACAGTCAAACAAAGCATATTTACATATTGCGCAAAAGGCCCTCCATGTTTACATATTCACGAACTCAACATCCCCTCCATTCATAACAAATGTCAAGGCTGTTTTAAAACCTAGAGATGGAGTAAGTATAAAGTAACATCAGGTAACAAGGTTGGTACCCTTCATAACAACAGTTTTACATTTCAAGATGGAACAGAGAAAATTTAGCAAAGAAAGATGCTTATATTTTAACACAGCTCCAGATTAACAATTTTAGAGCATACATACAGTAGGAAGCAGAAATTAAATAACTGAAAATCAACACTTACTTAAAAGCGCTCACACCAGGGCCAAATTTCCTAGAAGCCAATTAACCTACCAGTAGGTCTTTGGACTGTGGGAGCCCTTTTCACACAACAAGGTGTGCTGTTTGCTGAAACCACAAAAGGTCAGCAGCTTCATTCAGTGCACAATTATTCTACAACAGCTTCTGCAAAGTATGATGAAGACTTATAGGCAGGAACAAAGAAGTGCTTAAATTAACTTTTATTTTAAATTAATTGGATCGAATATTTTATCCAAAATGACTGACTGTATATCTGTATCAGTTTCGGGGCATGTTACCAAAAGAAATCTGAGTGAAGGCCCATACTGGTCATTTACAACAACAACCCCCTACTCAAGAGTTCAATCAACAAGCTTCCAGTTTCTGGAAGTGTAGAGCTCTTACCACACTGCTGTGAGTGCAATGACTGTAACTCTGCTTGACCCCTGCCAGAATTCAATCGTGGTCGCTTGCAAATTTGAGTAAACACTGCCCCATACACCCTAAACACAGTGGTGAACTCCACTAAGCCAAAGGGCCAGCCCCCCTGCAGCAGCAGAATTCCAACTGTCTAGGTTTCAAGGGAATGACATCACTGCTGTTACAAGCTCATAGCACAGAGCACTGTTACACTAGCCTAGCTGTATATCAACTTGTACGCTCCCACCCACAGGTGCTGAATTATAACTTTAATCTCACTCACCATTGGCAGCAACAAACAATGCATCTTTGTTGTACAGCAGAAATAATAAAAGTGAGAATGTTCTTGTCTCTGATGTTGCAAGTTGAAATAAACTAAAAAAAAAGTTTGTGATTTGTTTCAAATTCTTAACTGAGGAGTTGGAAATCTATACATTTTAATTTATATAAAAATCTTCATTTTAGTTCAAAAAGCAATATTACATAGTTTTCATTTCAGTAATAAGAAATAAGGACAAGCTGTTCATTTGCCTCACATTTTTATTGATAAAAATTCAAGAGAAAAATAAATGGATAGCCCATCATGTGGAAGGAAAGTAAGTAGAATGAAACACTAATTAGGAATTAATTAATACTAATAGGAAGAATTAGGAAGATGTGGACATAATATTTCTGACTGAAGCAAAATGTGTAAACAATGAACATACTGCAAATTCAAACATTATATATATAAAAAGAAAATGAGCTATTACCTTTGCTTAACTAAAGAACAAGTTAGTCATTGGAATCTGAAACAGAGTATCCCTCAAGCAAAGCCAGTGATATTCCTCACTTGCACAATGACAAATATATTACTGTGGCCAACTGCAGGAAAAGTTGTGGAAGTGATCTTCCACTAGAGGCCACTACAATACATGGCAGGAAGAAGTATAGATCACATTAGTGATTAAATAAAAATATTAATATTATTATTTTAAAATAACTACAATTTACATATAAAGAAGAAGGTAATGGCATTTTGCAACCACACTAATTGAGTTTATTTCACCAGCTAGCTTGTTCTTAGCTATAAAAGGTGGTCATTGGATACTGAGGCACATTCCTTAAAAACTTTCTTGCCAACTGTGATGGGCCTTGTCCCAGACACAGTAAGTTTCAAGTAAATATAATTCTTACCTTTTTGTAAATAGTTTAGTTGGTTGGTTGGTTGCAGCTACTTCATCTCATTTTGGTTTAAACAATCAAAACCACATCCAGAGGCAAGGCCGGATTTAAAGCCTGGGAAGCATGTCACACAATTTCCCATTATGCCCTCTTGTGGACAGGAGGGGAGCTCGTCCTTTTGTCTGTGGTTCTGTGGAGATTTAGTTGCCTGCTCTCTGGTGTTATTTTTGTGGCTGTTACTATTATTTAAATAAACTGAGGCCCTTTTGGATTTTCTGATGGTGGATGGCTTCATTTTTTAAAACTGCTTGGAAGTGGTCTCAACAGATTGTACTGTGGGAGGAAGTGTGCGGATATAACTGCAATATCTAAACGTTACGCATGAGGCATCTCATTAGACAAGTCTGCATCTAAGCAAAGCCAACAATAAAACACATCATGGGGACTCGCAGCAAACAAAAAAACTAAAAAATATATTTAAAAATCAATTTATTGGTATCCAGCAAAGATGTAAATCACTGAAATTTAGAATGGAATAATAGCTGCAGCAGATTGAATAAAGGGACAGAAATGCTACCAAGAACTCAGACTGCTTGTGTTGATCACAGAGCCACTTGTGCAGAAGAGAGTGGGTGATCTTCAGTGGAGAGGGTTGTAAACAATCCTGGCAACTAATTCTTTTCAGTATATCATTCTGCCTGGTTTGACAGATGGACTGTTTTGTCAGGGTATAGAGACTGTCTTTCTTTGCTTCTTCAACTGTTCAAAACTGCAGACTCTCTTCTCTGTTGTGAGTGACTTTTTCTCTGGGTTGAGCATTTTGTTTAATGTAACTTTATTTATAGTTTAGGTAAAAGTACTGTAAGAATAAAAAGGAAAGAGAGAAGAATTGTAAATGTCCTGTTGGGTCTAACCAAGCTGGCAATCTTTAAGAGTGGTATGAATAGGAAAAAACACAGTCTTACTAGTGAATGTGTAGTACTTTTTATAGTGTTTAAGTGGACAGACAGTGGCATTGCTGCCTTGCAGTGCTACAGCTCTGGGTTCAGTTCCGGAGCTGGTGTGGAGCTTGTATGCTCTCATGTGTTCTTGTGGGTGTCCTAGAGGTTCATAATTTTCCCCCGCAGTCCAAAAACATACTGTTACTGCAGGTTAATTTGTTTCTGGGAAGACAGGCCCTAGGTGTTTGTGTCTATAGGTCTTTTCTGTGATGGACTGGTTTCCTGTCCAGGGTGTACCCTGCTATGCGGCTGTTGCATGCTGGGATAGGCTCTGGCTTCCCTGCAACTCTGAAATGGAAGAAGCAGTTAGAAAATAGATGGTTCTGAGCTGAATTTTCTTTTTATAAATTGACTTACAAATTGTGCATTTTTTAAAGCATTTGGGGTTGTAGTTGTTTTGTGTGCGATTAAGGATGGGAATGTGAAAATTAATTTGTACATTTCAAAGGTAAGGTATGAGTGAATGTTAAATGTATTCTCTCTTTTTGTAAAACTTGTTGACTCTAATGTACTGTTTTTTTAAAGAATACTTTTTGCGAATACATTTAGTGATTTAGTCCACTAATTCAAAAGATGAATCATCTTTTTTTGTATTTCTTGAGAACAAACGTAACATTTATTTGATAATTACTTTCTTTATTCTAGGCTTAGAGAGAAAATGCTGTTTTATATCAAACAAGAGTATAATCCTTATTCCATTTTTATTTTAAGCATGACTTTTCTGCTTTAGGTTTTAATGACTTTAAGATGTATTTGCAATCTCCTCTCCTTCCCTGTGAAAACATTTTGCATCTTAGTTCATCATTGTTCCAGTTGGCTTCCTTGTTTACTCAGCAAAGATGCCAGTACTACACAAATGACCTCACTTTTCATGGACAAAGACTTCCAGTGATTTAAAGTGTAAGTGATTTAAAGGCTTCACAAGGTAGCAGAACAGAACTGCTTGTACTGCTTCTGGCGTTGGACAGTTTTGCTATTGAGAAAAACTGCAATAGTTTCAAAAAATAACATTAGCTTCTATGCCCTATACAACAAAAGTCTGTGACTGGCTTTATGCATTGATCTACAGAGTGTATGCCTGTCAGAAATCTGTGTGCCATTTTCAATCCATCTCCAGGCTAGAGCAGGCTTGGTGTTTGAAATTGTCCTTAAATAAGATGTAAAACTGATAATAAATTATGTTTATTTGACAGAAGTTTAGGTCGAGGTTAAATTGTAATGTCACATGACATCACTCCCCCAAGCTGTACATACATGTAAACACTCACTGGCCACAGACAGTACTGCTGTATCTTTTCTAGCTCCTCTCCTTCCACTCCAGCTGCAACGTTGTGGCATTTTCTCCCTGGTTCAGTCCTCCTATGTGACGGGAGATGTGACAGCACTGATTTCCAACCAGCCCTCTCATTTCCTCGGCTAGGTGCCCAAGTATTGAGCATGCCTTCCCTTTATATTTGTTGGTTAGTTTAATCTTTATTAGAATTTGACCAAACTACTGAACAGATCATAACACACACTTCCATTCCTTAATTGGTGCAGCTTATAACTAAATAATAACAAAAATATATTCAAAGAAATCTCTTTTTGTTGAAAAGTTAGACTTTCATTATTCCAGCATTTTACCAAGCAATGTTTACAGAATAAGTAAGAAGATATAGACCCAAAGCACTCTGGGACAGCAGTATTTTCTCTCTAAGATGTAGCAATTAAATAAATTGGGTCTCACTCACTTATTATTACCTCTGATTTCTTACTGATTCAATTACACTTAAACAGCAGGGTCATCCCTGTCTGGTCCTGGGTTAATACAGAAATACATCAACAAAAATACCCCACAACCAGTGGTTTGTTGTGACAATATAAATCTGTCTGAGGCAGTATTTATTCTTGGGCAGACCAATTAAACGGATAATATAGTTTTATTCTGCCCTTCACATTACAAATTTTTCTATATCGATTCACTTGACCCACAGGGGAACAACAACTATCACGTACCCAAAGGCTTGTTTATTTATGTTCTATTAACTTGTACTTTGAGGTCCTCTGGGCATAACCTACAGTAGCAACATGTGGTGAAAGCAGTTATTGAGATGCCTACCAGAAGACATTTTAAGGCTGTGATCTGTGAGAAGAGTTTAGGGGCCACCACCATGTATCTCAGTGTTTAACTGCAATGGTTTTAACCTCAGTGAAGAAATCATAAGAATCTTTGGCTCCTTCCCGGCCAATCCCAGAGTACTTCATACCACCAAAGGGAAGGTTGAGGTCACGGATGAGCCAGCAGTTGGTCCACACCAATCCAGCCTGCAGCTGTTTGGCCACACGGTGGACTCGACCCACATCTCTAGACCACACAACAGCGGACAAACCATACTTCACATTATTGGCCCTTCTGATGACTTCTTCCTCACTGTCAAAGGGCACGATGCACGTTACAGGACCGAAGATCTCCTCCTGCATGCAGCGCGATTCATCTGAGATGTCAGTGATAACGGTAGGCAACATGAAGTATCCACTCTTGTTCCGTTCAGGGAGGTCCAGAGAGCTGATTCCTTCCCCACACAGCACCTTGCCTCCCTCTGCCAGCGCCAGCTTCACGTAACCCTTTACCTGGTAACACATACAGTGGTGTGGTTTAACAAGAAAGTGACAATACTGCGTATAATTCAAACATCCCTTAAAATTTGGAACGAACAGGCCTCTTTAGTGGCTCAGCCTGGTAAAGATGCTCATTGAAGTTGAGGTCGAGCTCCATGTTCATGGGTTTGAACTGGGTCATGTTACTAGCCAACTATGACTGGGTTTCCCCAAGCAGTGGCACACAACTTGCTGAGAGCCACAGAGGGTAGGGTGGGATTAGTTGGCCAGGACAGTGACCCCTGTAGCCTCAAGGGCTCTTGCAGACATGCAGTGATGTCAGTGAGGCATGAGCCTCTCCTCCAATTGGCGCTGCACCTCCCGCTTGATGCTGTGTCGCCAGTGAGGTGTTGAAAGACGAGTGGCTCGACAGTGGGCAGGTCAGAGCATACCGCCAGGATTCCTCATTCTCCCCAGTGCGCGGTTGCGGACTGCTTAGCTGTGTTCATAGCTGCTCAAATGTGAGACACATGCGCTTTGCTGTTTCAAATCAATGTTTTTTTCTTCTAAATTTGGAATATAAATAACCCAATTCAATTACAATTGGAGAACAATTAATGTTAACTTTATTGTCAAATTCCTTTTAAAATTTCACCTTTTGTTTTTCTTTTTATAAACTCTCAATTTCAGATAAGAAATTGCTGGCCAAATTGTTGTTACAGGCTGCAAAACCTGTAACAACACGGGGGTAACACGTGCTGTGACTATTGTCCACCAGCATGATCACTGTCATGCTACTTGCTATTGGACTCATTCTGAGCTCCATAGTGCCTTACAGGAGAGTCAGCACTTATTGGAGGCAGCACCTCTCTCACACATGTCACTGAAAGCTCCCAAGTGTCTATCAGGTGCCAGGCTTGTGAACTGATCGACACAAGCCCATATAACCCTGATGGTGCCTATAAGAGGAGCTCCAATAGGAAGGCTCTGATGATAGAGCAATGTCATCTCTGAATCGGTGATGTCTGGCATCAGACTGAGTGCTCTTAGCAGTTAAGTCACTCAAGAGTCTCATCATTACAAATCTAACAGATTTGTTCATTATTTATTATTACTTGTTAAGCTGAAGTAAACAAAAATTTCTGAGGTTGCACAATTTTACCCAACCAGATTGTGTTACTTCAAAGAGCCTTGTTGTGTTATGATTATATTTACAGTAGAAGATTTATGGTATAGGTTTGTCCCTTAAAATTAATTTTTAATTACATTCTTAAAGTATTGTGTATTTAAAAAATACACATTGAAAATATTTAATAAATAATGTGCTTTATGCACAAAATCCTATAACAAAAGTATAGTCCTTTACAAAAAAACATTTTGAACATTTCCTAAAAAGTATATATATATACACTTATATGTATACTTCCTATATAGCAAATGTAATCCACAGCTACATTTCCATAAGTACATAATCAGAAACTATAGATACATGTTCAGGACTCTGACTGCCAGGTTTCTACAAATGGTGAAGCAAAAAATGTATTAGATATGTAATTAAATATTTGGTGTGCACCTAATTCGATAATTTCTATAAAAACATTTCCATACACTACTATAAAATGTATGTACCATAAAATGTTTGTGCTCCATGTAAACTTAAGTCAACAGGTCTCCAGTTATCATGAAAGAACTTCATAAAACACTACCTTTTCTAAATGCTCTTTGCTGATAAGTGCTCCATTGTGGACAGTAGTATCTGTGGGAACTCCAGTTTTGTACTTCTGGGCAGCTTCTACAAATCTCTGTAGGAACTCAGAATAGATACTCCTTTCCACAAAAATCCTGCTGGTGCACAAGCAGATCTCCCCCTACAAAAATGAAAAGGCAGTCTTTTAATTAATTTACAATTGTAGATAACATCCAAATTGACTGTCTGAAATATAATTGTTTTCACTGTCTATTGCTATCTTGCATTTGTTGTCGTAACCCTTCTGTCAGGCGGAATAAATAGCGAATTCCCAGAGAGCACAGGAAACAGTTCTTATTCACCAAATTAACAAGTCTGAATGATTCTTTATAAACAAGATACTGTAGCAAATAGTGAGTTTTAAATTGGTTAAGCTTCTTCTACAGGATGTGCTGTTGTACAGACATGAAGTCAGGAATTTTCTTTTTAAATTAATGCTAGTATTGTTAATTTATCTTTAAACCTGCAGTTACCTTATTTTTATTTGTCCTAGATTATATAAATATATACATCTTTACAGTCTTCATATTTATTCCAAAAAATTATAAAAAGAACCTTATTGTCTAGCAGTTTGATTAATACATTTACCTCAGATATTCTACGTATTTTTCAGAATTTCCGAATCTGCTGATTTTTAACTACCTTCAATGTCAAATTAAACTGCATTTACTAAAGATTTTAAGGGAAAAATTGATCATTTCTTTTTTTGACATACTGTACAAATTTAAATGGAGCAGAAGTACCCTCAAGTGGTCATAAGAAAAACTGCAATTATAGAAATTTGTTTTTAATATGGTACAGTATATGGCTTAGTACTAACAGTAGACATAATCTCCAAATAAGTGTAACAATGTGTGTCATGCTTGTAATTGTTTATAATGTAAATTCAATTCACTGCTGATCTTCTCCCATTTCACTTAATGATGCTTATTTCCTTATTAAGCTGGTACCTAAAGCTTAAAAAGTGAAGTAAAAAATCTCCAAAACCGAAAAAGCAACTGCAAAGTACAGTTAAGCAGACTCATGAAAAAAATAAGCTAGTAAACAAATTAATAAACCTCTCGTCTGTCATCTGCTTGTTTTCTAAGATGTTTCAGATTAAAGTGTGGCTCTGATCTTTTCTCTAAATTGACTTATAACATGTGAGTAGTAACAGTGGTAGAACATAGTAGTTCGGGTGGGTAGCTGCGTGAGCATGCATAGGCTGCAAAGGAACAAGTAATAGGTTTATTCCATGCTGAAAAAAAGAAGAAATAAACACAACGTTTTGGCCGTGGAGCCTTCTTCAGGTGTGAGCTCGTACCTGAAGAAGGCTCCATGGCCGAAACGTTGTGTTTTCCTTCTTCTTTTTTTTCAGCATGGAATAAACCTATCACTTGTTTCAGTGGTAGAACAGCCTTGGTTGTAAGGGACCAGTGGATCTGTACTTTATTACAATATTGTTCCTGTAGGTTTCTTACAGGAATTTGAGAGCCTTTGAAGTGACAAGACACTGTAAATGAATCCTGCTGTCACTGTTACTGGAGGACTCAGGTCTCTGGAGCGGAGTGCCGGAAGGTGTCGGCCACAGCTCGGCCCCGGCAGCAGCTGACCTGGTTCCAGAAGCTGGAGCGCACCGTGGCGGGGACGCACTCGTCCAGGTCGGCGTCCCGGAAGACAAGGGCGGGATTCTTTCCCCCCAGCTCCATGGAGAGCTTCTTGCAGTGTGGGGCACTGCGCTCGGTGATGCGCTGGGCAGTGGTGGTGCTCCCAGTGAAGGAGATGAGAGGCACCTCGGGATGGGACACGAGAGCGTCGCCCGCCCGCGGCCCTGTCCCAAACACGATGTTCACCACTCCGGGGGGCACGCCTTGGGGGGGAAACAGGCAGGCCCGAGAGCAGTCATTAATCCACCCGCTGCCTCTGAGCCCAATTACGAAACAACACCATTCAGAATGATATCAAAATGGATCTATTCAACAGTTCTTCAGTTATTATGAAAGATAAAACCCTCCCTTTTCAAAATGCTCTTATAGACAATGCCATACTTAGCATATTAGTTATTCATATTCCTTTTTTGAGGTGAGGCTAGAGTAATAATATTTAAAATTGACGTAACTACATTGACCCTACAATGTTGTTTGTTTATTTTTTGGACCCTTTGAGATGTTTTCTATGAAATTCATGTTATGACTCAATTGTTGACAGCGAATTCATTAGAAAAATGCACTGAGAAATAAGCAATGGGTCTGTGGATAGTAATAACATTGGGTCAGAATGTAGAAAATGACCACTACAGTGTCCATCTTCAGTCATTCTGTATAAAATATTGGGCTGACTGGTGTGAGGAGGCCTGGGTGTTGTTGTGTGCTCATGAAAACAGGAAGGCAGAGCAGTGGTTACTGCATAGGACTCACTACTAACAGTAATCCCTGGGGAATTGTTGTTGTCTATACTCAGATTACTCTTGGAAATACCATGCTGTATAAATCTGTACACTCCAGGTCATCACTGTAAGTGCATTTATTGTTATCCACTGATGATTTTTAAATTTGGAAAAGAAATAAAGTTTTCAGGAAGTGCGTGAAGGCAAAAGTCACCTGCTTCATCCAGAAGCTTGCACATCATCCAGGCAGTGACAGAGGTCATCTCACTGGGCTTAGCCACCACAGTGTTCCCTGTTGCAATAGCTGGAGCGATCTTCCAGGTCAGTAAATACAGGGGCAAGTTCCACGGGCTGATCAGACCAGCTGCAGACAAGGGTTAACACTGCAGGGTTAACACTGCTAAGTTACGCAATGGCAGAAATCTGTTTATCTTTCACCACATAGGTAGTTCACTGCTAAAGGTCACTGGAAAGAAAATAACTTTGTACAGCTGGCACTAAATTAGTCTGTAGTGAAAAAAGAAGAGCATAATGATTTAAAGTGTAGTGAAAAGTACAGCCCCTTAAGAATTTATGGTTTAACATATTTAGATATATTTACCTAGTCCTCACCTAGTCCTAATAGATAAAACTAACCCCATCTGACAACACACAAAATTCTACTTCATCATTGTTTATTTAAAAAAACAGCATTCAAAATCTTTGTCTGGTCTAAATTATTCATTCATTACAACTTATGTATTTAAAGCTAGCACTATATAAATATCTGGCATTATATAACAGGAATTGAAGACTGTCTTCTGGATATGATATATGTCTGCCAGATTCAGAGTTTGTTTGACACTTTGTATAACATTATCACTTGTGAAATACAAAAAGTTATCGTGATCACATTCTCCTTATCAAACAGTGTTTTTCTCTTTTAACTAGGGTATGAAAGCTCCTATCTTAAGAATCTCAAGAAATCATAATTTGCCACTCAAAGAAAACTTACAATGTTAACTGTACTATATAATAATTAGGCTTTAAAATGTAAATGAAAAGCCAAGCACATACAACCTTATGAATTTCATAAGTTATATCCGCAGATTGAACAGAGAATAAAATTAGGAAAGGAACTGCAGTGCTGTCTCACCTACTCCCACTGGGCTGCGAACAGTATACAGCATACAGCCCATGTGGTCCATCTGACTGCATTCGGTAGTGTGGTGGAGGATGGAGGATGCAAAAAAACGGAAGTTGTAAGCAGATCTGGGAATGTCCACAGTTCGGGCAAAAGTGATCGTTTTCCCTGCAATTAAGAGAAAGGAATACATCACTTTCTAACATTTGGTAAATGAATGTGTTCACAAAGGAAATCAGATATTTTCAAGCAAAGAGGCTGAATGCCCCTGTAATGATCAAATTAAATAAACTTCAATGATCTGAACTTGTGAATCATTGATGTGATTTAATACTCCAGTTTTTGTGCACCTGTTCACCTTTTCAAAAAACACTTTTTTGCATAATTAGTGCATAACATGCTGGATGAGTTCTTCACAGATTGTTTTTGTATTTATTGTCCTATCCATCCATTTTCCAACTGCTTTATCCAATATGAGGTCACGGGGGTGTCAGAGTCTATGCTGGCAAGCAACAGGAGCAAGGCAGAATACACCCTGGACAGGACACCCATCCATCACAGGGTACACAGACACAAACACACACACCAGGGCCACTTCTTCTAGAAGCCAGTTAATGTACCAGTATGTCTTTGGACTGTAGGCAGAAACCTACATGAACACAGAGAAAACATACTGTTCTGTTTCAGCTGTGGAGTCAAACTATGAATAAAAACGCAACAACAGCTTTTTCCTCTGTTGTTTCTTGTAACTGTTGTCTTTCCATAAAAAACAGAGCCAAATGGAAAGGTCAGTGTGTGAGCTATGGTATTCAAAGTTAAGTTTCCTCAATGACCAGATGACATTTAAGGTGCAAAACACAGTGATTCTCTCCTGCAAACAGAAAAGATGTTGACTGTGAATAGGTGAACAGAGAGGTCATACCCGGTATAAATGAAAGGAAGGAGAAGATGAGAAGTATGAAATATATTGAGACAGGGCACTCATGAAAGGACAACCTCCATAAGACACAATACCTCACCAGAAACAGTAAGTCACTCTGGCTCCCCCCCGAGTCTCTCTCACCTTGGTCTTTCGACTCAGCCTGTGCAAACTCTTCCAGGTGAGCATCAATGAGGTCAGCCAGCTTGTTCAGTATCTGGGATCTCTCCAAGGGGCTTTTTGAGGACCATGCAGGAAAAGCTTCTTTGGCTGCTTTCACTGCTTCCTCAACCTGATGGACAAAACCAGAATAACTGACTCATTTTCAGAGTCGTGTACACATAACAGAAGACCTCAATGATTTACATGAAATTCTGCAACCCTAAACAGTCGGAAGACGGTTCTTGGTTGAAGACCTCATTTCATAGAGCTGGGACAATATAGTAATCCATCAATCAATCCATTATAAACCATTGATAGGCAACATTAAGTAATTATTTAAGAATGGAGAATGAAAAATTGCAACTGAGATTCTGGGAATATGTTTAACCACCTACGCTTACCTGCTTGATAGTACTTGAAATATTACAAGGTTAAAAGACACACCCTCATGCACTATGATCAAGTATGTTTTATCACCATGATATTTTTCTACCAGAAGCTGCCACAAAGATCAAAAACATCAAACCAAACTGCAACCTAAAAATAAAACATGCCACAAGGAGCCAAACTTCATTATTACCAAATATCCAAAACCAAACTGATTTGTTTATGAATATTATTTAATATGATCATTACATTTATTTTCAAGCAATACACTACCAATACACTAGTGAGGTGAGAAAAGCTGATATAAAATAGTGAGAAAAATAATTGTATCACATAGTTGGTTATAATATGATTAATATCTGTATTTTTTTTTCATTTTAAATAGAATCATACATGGATTCATAGTTAACTATAAGATAGTGATGCGCTGATGGTTTAAAAACTGTCACTGTCTCAGCCCAATTATTTACTGTTTACAGGTAAACTATCAAAAGGAAAAGCGCTGTGATTTCAAGAACTGGAGCTGACATTATTTTCTTATACCCACCCTGTGTGCAATCAACAGTGGCCTGAGACTCAGCTTTATGGCATTAACCCTTGTTCTGCATGATGAGGATGAGGATGTGCAAACATGCTCCTCGGCCACGCCCACCTGTCAGAGCCATTCCTCCTCCTCCGACAGGCTGCAGGAGGGAGAGGGCCAACCGCAGGAGCACCACATCACAGTAAGCTCGCAGGCGCCCAGCCGGTGCCAGGGGCTGCCGCTGCATTGGAAGTCAAGAGAATGCCGCCCACCTGCCAGAAGTCAGTCAGCCAAGTGACTCACAACCCAGGGAGGCCCAGGTGCAGGCTGCTAATGACATGGCCCAGGTTCGAGCAGGCCACAGGTGGACCACAGGGCTCAACGTGCTCTCTAAGGGATCTCATTTACTGCCTAAGCTGCTCTGCTGCCAGTCTTGAGCAACACAATGCACATTACAGTGATACCTCAAGATATGCCCCAGTTTGAAACTGTTAAAAATGGTCTCACAATGAATCTAAAACTGCATGTGGAAGCTTTTTCCATATTACATGTGTACTTGAGGCATTTCCATAACTTTTGCATTGCTTATTTTTGCGATACATCCAGGAAAAAAACTAATAGTGACAAAATTTTAATATGAATCCGAAAAACCCTGAGTTGCCTAGTCAAGTACAAAACTTTCTACATTACTTTGTCAATGTGGTGAACGAAGAAAAAGCTTGCGCATCACACAGGCAGTGACAGATTTCGTTGAAGTGGCCCCATATAAATGTGGAAACAAAAACTACTTAATTAAACTCTAATAAAACCATTACTGAGAACTCTCTGAGAAAAGAAATGTATGTCTTTTCTGTTTTATGTTTGCTGATGATCATGTGGGATTCTGTAAATCTCTGCAAATGTCCTGCAGGATTCTGTCAGGAATCTCATTGGAATGATGCTGTGTGACCTATTTCACATTTTCTGGAAGAAACTTGCAGGATATTTGGTCCAAAAACAGCAATATTCTGCAAAAGTCCTGGTGTACTTAAAACATTTATATACTGTACATATATTCATGATCATTTTCAGAAAAAAAGTATTCCAATAGTGATAATGAATATGTCATACAACTTCAAGTATTTTTTTTTAATGAAACCACTGTCACAGAGGTTTTGAGCCCAGTGTTGAAATTATCACAAATATGAACCTATTTGTGATAATTTCACCACCTATTTTTTTGCACAGTATAACTATTAATTTATTTTCAGCTATTTCTCATTGCACAATGCTGTTGTGTAAGTAAATTACAAAGACTTCCAAATTATACATTTTGACCCCATTTTTACACAGTACACAGATTGTAAAAGCTAAAACTACAGCTTAAACCTGGCAATCGCTATCAGACACAGCCCTCTAGTAGCCTAAAATATGATATAAATTAATCATTAGCAGTTAAGTAGACATTTACCTAGACTTTGAAGTGCAAAGGTTAATTCTGACTCTGCAATGATTCACATTTTCCAGAAAGACAATTAGCAATACTGGTTTGCTTGTGTTATATGATATATAGTAAAGGCCACAGAAACTGTAAAGCTTTAGTTAAAAGTAACCTAAGTAAAGTATAAAATAAAAATAAAAGTGTGCCACCAAGTGTGTGTGATACAAAGCCCTTTTTATATGTTTTTTTCTAGGGCATCATATTACAGCTGCACATCAGCAAAGACAAGTGATTTACTTCAAAATCTGTTAGTTAATGGGACATATCTGAGTTTCTCTTTGTAAGGGCTGAGACTTTATGGCACACAATGGAAGAGTTAAAAATTAGTTAAAACAGTCCAGAATATACATTTGTGAACAACTACAACAGCATTAATTAAATCCTTGAGATGTTTTCATTTCAAAAACACTAATAAACCCTATTCATATTTTTACCTTACACATAGTAAAAATGTGTGGACATGTATATTCTATTTTTTAAATATATATATATGTCTCATTAAACCCCTCCGATGGCACAGGGCCACTCGACAAGAATGTAGTTACAGCAGTGTGCATGTGCTATTCTTGTTAGAGAAAATGAGCTACTGTAGCAGAGGGCCCTATAATTTTATTTACTACCCACATAACCCCAGTTGTTGAAGAAAGATTCCTTCGCAAACCCCTTAAAATAACAGAGTTTAAGCAAAATATAATACATTTCTACATGGATAAAACATCTCACCTCCTCCTTGTCGCTGTCGGGCACTTTGCAGTACACCTCTCCAGTAGATGGATCATAGGAATCTACATGTCTGGAGCACTGCACGAATTTACCTCCTATGTAATTCTCCAGCACTAAGTGTGTCCTTTGATCTGCCATCTTAGGCATGATTGCTATTGGTCTTTATTAGTTTATACTATACCTAAAAATCACAGCAGTGTCCAGTACAGACTACAGCTTCACTGTCACACACACTGTCAGCTAGCAATCATTTATTCAACTGGTTTTAATGCCGCCCCTGTTCTGTAATCCGCACCTCTCACTCGAGCGAACAGCGATTCCGGTAACCAATCACATTCCGCGAAAGGAAAACCTGTCAAAATCAAGAGACCAATCGCGACGGAAAGGGGGAGGGATATTCTCCTGCCGCTGACAGCTATCCCTCTTGACCTTCTACTATTCAGTAAAGATTATACACTGTATACTTAATAACAACCAAACCTCTTTTGAATTTAATCCCTTACATATTTGCATATATTGATGTCACTTGTATATATATATATCTTTAATATTAATGTATGTCATTGTCAGTCTCCATTATGTAGAAACTGATCATGGGCCTGTAGTGGAATTTTTCCATACACTGTTATGCTGCACGGTACTTATAATTCAAACACTTTATTAAGTAATAAAATAGACCCACGTAGAAATTAAAGTGTTGTCCCTAGTGAGTGTCTGAGTTATACTATGTGACTAGGCTGTAGCACTGTATCAAGGAAAGTCTTCACAGTCACCTACCTGCAAATAAGACAGCTATGACGAAATCAAATAGAGAGTACCACAGCAAGGAATCCAGGTAAATGACCTAGAAATTCATGTTAACACACCAATATTATAATGCCGTGAGGACAGACAGTAAAAAAGCCCCTAGAATTTTCCTGGATCTTGTGAGAAATTAAAAACATTAGGGTGTTAATCCTTTCACATTCTAACACAAAGTCGAGTTTTCTGCAAGAATGTTGCTAAATCACATTATAAAATGTCAGATTTAGAATATTACAGGTTAAAAAAATAAAATGGAGAACTAGAGCTCAACCCAGGATCTCTTGAAGTCCACAGAAGCCACAACCGTTATTTCCACATCCTCGTCTAAAGATGGTGTTTAAGAAGACTAGTCCATGCTTCACACACATGCTCAGGACTAGGAGTCTGATTTCCCTACTCTTTCCTTCCTGTTCGTGCCATTCTACAAATACCAGTCCTTCTGAAACGAATGCTCTTGACTTGTTGGTTAAGATGCAGTCTGCACCGGAGCAGAATTGTTCCACACCTACTCTGGAAACATACTGTACCTCAAAACTGGTTCCCCGTGGGCTAGCCTGCCAATAGCATGAGACATTCATGTTCAGGTGATGTAACCATGGAGTCCATCTAGAGCTTTAGGTGTCTCCAACACAACAAGGCCTGGTTCCACAGAGAGGATTTCTAATTAGTTTGATTAATCTAAGCTTTCTGCTCAATTATTGTAGTGTTTTACCAAGCAATTTGTGTGAATAATAATTATCATTGGATAACAATGCTAGCCTTCCTCTAAGCTGATCAAAAGCCAGATAACAAAACATTAAAAAAATGAACATAAGAAGCAAAGATTAGTACTGTATGTAATCAAACTGATTTATACACTCACATCTAATAAATAGGAATTTAAATCTTAGTTACACTATGGTGAATATTATTTAGCTATGGTCATTTAAAAAAGCCTTTTAATACTGCTTTATATACAGTATCTATTGATAATTAAAAGTCTCTTTTGACTATGGAAATATTAAATTACCATAACTGATAGTGACATGTTTGCTGTTAAAAAAACACCATAACTCGGAAAGGCGTTTTGTGTAATAATTTCTTGCTGTACAGCTATATGCTGTGTTATATGTATTATATTTAATACAACAGTAATAAAAGGTATTTTCATCAATAGTATTTTTAGCATATAATTTTTATTTTTTGTAGGACTAATTTTCTGGGTGGTGCTATTGCAGAAGTGAACCTGTAATATAGGTTACAGCATTCATTATCTAGAGGAAACTGAGATCAATTTAAAATATACCAAATTTGTGCTTTGTCACGATAGGATGAAATGTGAGTCTCTAGTAGGAGTTTGGCAGATCACAGTGTGTACAAATGTGTTTAATAGTAAGCACTTGAATTTAGTTTTTAGCTTACAGGTGTCCTAAGCAATTTAGGAACAAAAAAGATCTAAATATTACCACTAGATGGTAGCATTGCAATATAAATATGTACTTTCCAGTAAACAGATCACAAACAGCAACTACAGAAGACTGGTGTGACAAAAATTTGACTGGTGTGACTAAAGTTCTTGTGCAATTAGCCTAGCTTATATGAAATTTAGCTCTAATTGTCTGTCTAGAGCTTATTGGCGACCTGGTCAAATTTTCTATTAGCACAAGTTATGGCCTCCTAATAATCCAAATCTATGAATTGACTTTTTCACTCTCTTCTCCTCCCCACTGATAGTTGATGTGTGGTGAGCTTTCTGGTATACTATGGCTGCAATCACATCATCCAGTTGGGTGCTGCATATGGTGGTGGAGGGTAGTCCCCATTACCTGTAAAGTGCTTTTGGTAGTAGTGCCCAGAAAAGTGTTATAGAAGTGTAAGCACTTCTTTTCTATTTATATTCACAATATGTGCAACATATGTAAATAAGCTGCCTAGTTAGTAGCATTGTTTTTTTCACACATAATCAAAATGGGGGTTTATGAAAGGAACTTGGACCCTGGTCATTGTATTCAACTTGAAGCATAATTTTTTTTTTCACCATGCTGCAAGTTGGGTCTGCATTTGTTCTTGAAGTTAATATTAACCCACTTGATGTCTGTTCTGTCCACACTGCAGAAAGCATGCTTCAAAGCAATCATGCTGAAGGGCTAAACAACTTGATTATTGACAGGGATTAATACTACTGGATGTTGTTCATATAATTTATTGATTCTTCAGCTGCTTGGCAGTTTTCTGGGTTCTGCAGCCCTATGCACAGGTGGAAGTGGATATCTGGTACACGGCCCTCATCCATCTGTCTTGTGCTGGCGTTGTAACAGGTGGACATGAACATGTGTTGTACTGTATGGTTATGTCTCAGAGGTGCACTAGTGATGTGTCTGTAAAATCTGAAGCAGATGGCAACAGTCTGTTGGGTAATTCCTGTTTGAGTCATACCAGTGCTGGGTTCTACTAATCATTCAGTATATTTGGCATCACTGTTTGTGGAACAGAGAATTTTCTGTTATGAATCCATGGCCGCTAAACATTTCTTCTTATCGACTGCCCAATCATTGCAAATGCTCCTGTCAATACATTTAATTTAACCTTGCCTGTACAGGCAGGGACAAAAAATGGAAGCAACAATGTAAAGCCATTTCTTAGGTTACTGGGCCATTACAAGTGGCCAGTGCAGCTTGTATGCACTGTGGGACAGTCTACCAGCACCTGCAGTTATGCAGGAGGAATGCGGCGCCATTCTTCTAGGAGAAATCCCATGTCTGGCTAAAAGAGGTGAAAAAAACACAAAGATTTTATTCCAGAATATTAAATGTGTAACTGGGCCTAAATCTCGTGATTATAAACTCTCTGATATATAGATACAGTAACATCAGTGTCAAGCTCATCAAACCAGTAAGAGACTACATATGCTCTTTGGATGGGGGCAGTGTCATCCTGTCAGACACCCCTCCCAGCAGGAGAGAAATGCAGTGACATGGGGTGTCGATGATAACTCAATACCATTAAGCAGCAATTGACCCTGCCTTCTGAAGGAATGAGTGCACCCAAAAAGCATCTCACACCATTACAGAACTGCTTGAACCCCTCAGCGATGGAATGAAGCACTCAGGACTGTAGAGGTCTTTAAGCTGGCTCCACACATATACTGCCATGAACATGCCGAAGGATGATTCCCCTGACCAGATCACCTTTCTCCACTGCTAAGTAGTCCATTGCATATTCTTTGTGCCCCACTGGACTCACAAACGTACACGGTCTGGTGAGATGAGCGGTATGTACACTGCAACCCAACTGTGGTGTCCTGCTCTTGGGAGGCCTCAGCAGATTATTTTTCATTGAACTGGCTGCTTGTTTGCAGTAAACTGACCAACAGTGCTTGTTTGTTTTGCCTTGGACTTTCAATTAACATGGGATATCATGATCCTGGAGTGTGCATCCCATTGCCTTGCTAAGCCTAATTATAGGCAACTGGACAAGTATAAAAATACTGAATAGGCCTCTTAGCATACTGTTATTATTAGCAATGTTATTTGTTTAATCAACACACAAATCACTGTGAGGAAGCCCTTGCTTTCAGTCTAGTGAGTGCCCCTTAAATTCTGTCTGGATGCGATACATACTGTATAATGTGTGATTCATAGCGATTCGACAGATATGGCTAGAAGTTCATGTCGTGTTTTGGTGGGGGAGTTGTGCTTGCAGCTGCTTAAGACAATTCCAGTTTGTTGTCAAAAACAAGAGTTTGTTTTGTTTTTACCTGCAAGGCTAATATGGTTAGGAATGCATTTAAATATTATGTTTTAAAATTATTCCCCTTTAGGCCTCATTGGTTTACTGTTGTTGGATGATTCCTTTGATGTTTTAAAACACAGTATTTACTGAAAACAATTTGGTGCTTACATTCATTTCAAATTTTCCAATACAGTATATTTAAAATAATCTAAGATAAATATAAAATAGTATTTTTAATTTTTCTTGTAGTATCTGCAGTAATCTGTGGTAATCTACATTCATAGAGTGTCCTGGGTGAGACAGTCAAGATTGTTCAGTAATTACAAAAGGAATGGTAACAAATCCTTTACTGAGGCAATCACAATCTTTACAAAGCAAAACCAAAAAACAAACAAATTACCCACTTTCCTTAGATGTCCTTCTGTTGTGGTTTCATATTTAGTACTATCGAAAGTGTTGATTGGAGTTAACTCTTAAATCCCCATTCAGGATTTGAAAAACATTAAACATTTCTTTCAGACTCTTTCTAAAAAAGGGGGTGATTTTCTTAACTAACTTGCATTTTGTGATGTTTATTAGCTTTGAAGGTTTTAGTGTTAAGGTAATCAAAAAAGATCTGTTAAAACCTTTGCTAAAATTAATTTAAAAAAACATTTATTCTAAACTCTCCTGTATTTATCTCATATTGCTATGTACTCTATCTCGATTAGAAGTATTCATCACAAACTGTTCAGAACTTTGCTGTAAATATTTTGTAGCAGACGTACAGTCTGTGAACAGAAATAATGCCAAAAGCACAGCAGACAATGACCAATGAGAAACAATGCTGAGCACTTGGCAGGTGTGAACTCAGTACTTCTACCAGCAGCTAGTGTATATCCCCCTACAATTCACAGCTGGTAACACACCGAAGCTCAGCAGGCGTGAGCCTAGTCAGTACCTGGATTGGAAACCTCCTGGGAAAAACTAAGGTTGCTGCTGGAAGAGGTGTTAGTGGGGCCAGCAGGGGGCACTCACCCAGAGGTCCATGTGGGTCCTAGTGCCCCAGTATAGTGATGGGGACACTATACTGTAAAAAAGCGCCGTCCTTCGGATGAGACGTAAAACCACGGTTCTGACTCTCTGTGGTCATTAAAAATCTCAGGGTGTTTCTTGAAAAGTCTAGTAGGGGGTTCTGACCCGAGTTCCCCCTGGCCTTTAGGAATCATGGCCTCCATATAATCCCCCATCTACAAATTGGCTTCATCACTCTGTTCTCCACCCCACTAATAGTTGGTGTGTGGTGATCGTACTGGTGCACTATAGCTGCTGTCTCATCATTCCGGATGTTTCCTGTATACTGGTGGTGGTGGAGGGGAGTCCTCATTCCATGTAAAGAGCATTGAGTAGAGTGTCCAGAAAAGATGCTATATAAGTAATAGCGATAATTACTATTTCTTGTACTGTATTTTCCCTTAAGAAGGAAGAGGATATGTTGTGCACTGAACTTACTTCTGAAGATCAGTTTTGAATGAGTTTCAATATGGCTTCTCCGTGAATCACTTTCCTAGAATCCAGGTCCAGATTGCATGCTTTAACATGGCGTGTTTTTTGTAAAAAAAATATTTACTCAGAGAAACCATTTGTGAAACAGTTGCATGTCCCCGTTATTCATATAGATAGCCCAATTCAGCCAATTATGTGTCGGTACTAATCAATCGCACTGTTTCCCCTTATCTTTATTCCATTTGCATTTAAAATGCAGAAGTTTTCTGAATCAACCAAGGTCAGGATCTGGGGAAACCCACACTTGTGTCCGTGACAGAGAAATCAAATTCCGTTTCAAGCAATGCTGCAGTTTCCATTTGGCATCTAAAACTTGTTTCCACCATGTTATTTACAACTAAATTCACAGCTATCTTGAGGAATGAGCTATCTGCTGTGTGATGGAAAAGTTCACTGCCACTGTTTCAGTGGTACACTCAGAGTGCAAGGCTGTTTCCTGTTCTGGAGTACCACAACACTGCAGTTTCTTCATCAACTCTGCTCCTCTGGGCTACATAAAGGCATCTGCTTATCTATCACAGTCCATTCATTAGACTAGGACAGGGAAATTCCCATGTGAGCTGGGACATTTTCAGACAATACAACCAGTATGAGTCCTGTGCATAAACTTGCATTCTCATGAACAATTGAATTAAGTAAAAGCAAAAATACATGTTTTTTTGCAATATGCATAGAATGGACCACAGAGCTAATATTTGAAACTGAGAATAAAAAAAAAAAGAACAGCTTATGATAAAAACACCTAATGAGTCAGCACATATCTGAGGCAATCAAGTGCTTTGCATGACCCATTTGAAAGTGCTCATGAAACCAGAAGCTGTGTCTGCATCTCTCGGAATGGCTATACATATGGCCCCATGCCACTGAAAAAGGGATAAGAGAGATGCTTGCCCTACTACCGCGAGAACAGTTACTTTTACCTCCCAATGTAGAGTGACAAATATAAAAGCAAGGAGAATCAGAGTAAGACATTAAAGTGTACATAAGTACAGTATGCAGGGTATGGCGGCACGCATAGCAATTCCTCAAAACTGCATACAACTGAAAATGCTTCTGCGAACTGCCACGTGCAAATTGAGGAAACAAGGATGTGTGAAACAAAGGCAGCCCTTAACCCAAACTTAAAACCATGTTTCCATATCTTCCGAAATGCAATTGGATCTGGAACACAATATCTTACTGCATAAACACATACTGTGTTCAAAGACCAAACATTTGAAACAACAATTTATTCCTTCATTTGGTTGTACAGCACGCCAGTTCTGTTGGCAGCAACTTGAGAGCTTAATATCGTTATGCGAAAGCCTGTCCGTACCAAATTGCTCCTAAAACAAGTCATTTCTGGAAGATGTCACTTTTACAAATGCTTCCCACACAAGACTTTCACTGCTTTGCAAAAAGAAAGATACAGCTCCCAAGGATATCTTACCATCTTTCGTAGTGCACTTTAACCAAAGCTCGAACGTTGTTTTCTGACAAAAGTCTGAATGGAGCTTTCTTGTCCACATTGTTAATACTAGTCATAATATAATAATACTCAGATGATGAATGGAAATCTGATCCATAACAAGGCTGCGGTCCACAGAAAAGTAAGGCCACAGAAAAAGACTTACTGATATGACAGGGTATGGCTTCTTCTTTTTCAGAAGGATAAGAAGGTTTGGACCTTAAGGACCAGTGTTAAAAAATAAAAAGAATCCAAAGAGAAGCACACTATTAGTGTGTTAAAGCATTCATTCCCCCCCAATACTTAGTTTCTACATGTCTAAGGTTAAAACTTTTTCATTACAAAACAGTATATTTCACATGAGGTCTGCACTCTGATCTGGCTAAAATTTAAAGACAAAGAAAGAAAAAAGCAGAGCACTCACTGTGTACAAGACATTAAACCCACCATCCAATTGTTCGGATATAATCAATATGGTCTGCCAATATAATTCACATTACACAAGTCCGTAATGAAGAAATCATTTTGCTTAAATTTAACTTGGTTAACTTATACATGTATGTAACTTCAGTTAAGAGGCTGGTATATGCAGTAGCTCAATTCCAATGACACATTTCTGTGTTTGCCCCATTCAAAACCCATGGTTGCCATGAAATTTAGCCAGTTCTTAACGTGAATTTTCAGTCTTACAACTTCACACAGCAACTGTAGAAAATATACTTGAAATGGCTTCCTGAGAATATTTTTGCAGGTGCAGAAAGTACTGCATGAAGTACTGAAACTCATTTATGGACATTTCTGTTTTATTTGAGGGTTCCAACTACTATTTTAGGAATGGTGTGTTGAGCTACATCTTTCACATAGTACCAAATGATTTCCATAATCTTGATGCTTATAAAGGTGGCTCCTCCGAATCAAATAAAAAATGTTTTTCTAAGTAAATGAAAAATATTTTTCTTATTTTTTCTACACTAAATGATGCGGATTTAGAAAAGGTAGGTTTGAACTAATTTAAGCCTGCTTTGAACAACCAGTAATGGATACATACAGTGCATACAGTACAATGGAATTTTTAGATTGTTTTAAAATTAATTTGGTGCATTTCAACATAAGAAAATTAAAACTAAAGAAAGCAGCCATGGTAATGCATGTGATTGGAGTGAAAATAGAACAATGAAAAAAATTGTACAGATAAAGGATATATGATTAAATTGGTGTGATTAGTGCAATTAAAATTAAATTCATAAAGAGTTAGAAAAAATGAAATAATGAGGAAACCCCTGGAAGACGGTAAGAGTTCATCTAGGCCAACTAGGAAAAAGACAGATATTTATGTTGTAGTAATTCAGGTGGGTAGCTGAGTCAGCATGTGTAGGCTGGACACCTGAAGAAGGCTCCAAGGCTGAAACATGTTTTTTCTTTTCTTTTCAGCATGGAATAAACCTATTAGATATTGATTTTGACTCCTGTAGAAAACAGAAAGGCCTACAACTGTAGGAAAATGTAGAAAAGTACAGATTAGAAACAAAGAATTCTTATGTTAGATTTGTACAAATATATTTGCAAGACCTCATTATACAGTAGTGCATACATTCATTGTCACCAAATTATGAAACTATATTGCCACTCATCATTGATCCCAAAGAACTGTGACCAAGTATTAGATGTGGAAGAGAACAGTTGGCATGTTTTTTCACAAAAAAACTAAGGACGGACTGAACAAACTATCCAACCAGGTTGATGAAGGGAATACCCTAAACTCCTTCAGGAAATAACTGGGTGAGTTAATTGATTTTTTAATCAATTAGGTAACCAACCAGATAAGTGAATTACCTCCTCTTGTGTTATCTTTTATCTTCTCAAGTAGCCATTGAAGACCATGGGATTATTTTATCAAATTTATTTGATCCAATAAATGTGAAAGTCTCAGAAAACTTCAGTACCGAGATCACGCTCTATTTTCTCTTGACTGTCTGAAGTGCAGCTTTGTGTTTTTTTATACTGTGAATACTGTACCATGCATTTTTTTTACATTCTGTTCAAACTATACTAAAATATGGAACAATTTCCAGCAGAAGACATTACTATCCTATAACATTTTCAAAACCACCACAATCTTTAATTCTATAAGTTATGCTATACGTTATTACTACTAAAGACAAAAACAAAATTCATTTGGAGAACAAAATCCAGCTGTCACATCTAAAAGCACGTGTTATCCATGGATTATGGTAAAATAATGGAATACTGATTTGATAATATATTATCAGAAGCAGGCTGCTCCTTTGTTAATGAATAACCATATTTATAAAACGCCACTGTTCCAGTCTCAAGGTTGGTCACCATCAGTGCAAACACAGCACAGATCAATTCATAATACAAATGCTTTCTGATCTGAAAATGTCCACAAAATCAATAGTACTGTTTGTTTATTTACAGGGAAATACCATTTTTGAGCTTTTGTTCCGAACTTAGACATTAAACATTAAAATAAAAGGGACTTTAATTATGCTTACATCATGAAACTTTATTAGTCTTTAATATTTTGTCATTTTCTTTTTTCCCTACAACTTTGTTTTTTTTCCCCAAATGCCATGCATTGTTACCATTATCTTCAACAAAAAATTGTATACATAGGCCTGGAAACATAAAATGATAGTTGGTATGATACATATTTATCACTTCAAAACAAAAAATATACCTGGATTCAGGTAAGGCATTTCATACTCAAACCTGGGAGTGATATCCCAGTTTAAAATGTTCAGCCAAAATGTATTTTCGTTTTCCGCAAAAAAATTATCGGAATCATTCTTCAATTCAGAAATTAATTCACGCAAAAAGGCTAAGCAGCAGGCTGTTTTATTAAAATGCATTGTGTATGCAGCTGCAATATTTGAAGAAAACTGTGGAGCTCAGTTGCTTTTGCTAGACTTCTCAGAGCAGCTGGGTTTAAATGTTGTCAATGTCCTTGCTAAGCCACTGTGTTGCAATTCAGCACAACTTCAACACAGTTCAAGTTTTATTAGGTAGTGTTCACACACGTCTGTGATGAGGTCACAATGGTCATTGGAAAATCCATCGACTTAAGATGATAAATATCATTCAGGACAAAATTTGCTGGCAGTCCATTCCAGAAGAAATTGCACTTTTCCCTATGACATCTGGGACTCCTCAAGGCTCTATGGAGATGGGAAGGTGTGTATCATATCACTCTTTGATCTACAGGTATGTGAACAAAAGAATAGGATAATATGGTTATTAGTAACTCCAATATCACATAATACAAATTTATATGACAGCCCAATATAGAGTATAGATTCCAATACAATTTAAATGCAATGTTAACACAAAATTGGAAGCAGATTTCACCAGAGTACAAAGAAGGATCTTTTACTGAGAGAAAAATTATAACATCAGATGTCATCTGTATAGTACTGTAGCTGAAAGAGAAAAACCAGTAGGAAACAAAATTCCAGTTAAAACTGCAGTTAAGAATGAAATACCGTATATGCCATTGTATTCTCCACAATGTCACTATAATGGCACAGGGACAATCTCAAATGGCAGACCTCATGTGCTATTAACAATACCTTCCATTTGTCCAAGGAGAGGTACTGTATTGATGCATTCAGACATACTGTAACACACCTGTTGCAGTCCAAGTAGATATGCTAACATGCCCAAGTAGGAAGACTTGGGACTAAGAGCAAAAGGGCAAGTGTCTTACTCTGTATAAGTGGTCTCATAAATCAAAGGAAGGTAATATTTTTCATTCATGAATTTAAACTTGGGTCTTCCATCCTTGTTAAATACTGGATACCTTTGACTGGGATGCAGGTGAACATACATTGTAAATGTGAATGAAAAAACTTAAATAAGATAAATGAAGAAATAAAATAGTGGTGACTAATCTAGACAACTAATTTTTGCACATCAAAATTACACTTTCATCACCATGGACGTCCTTGAGATGAACAGCCATATCCAAATACACAACTTACGAGTATTATTACACTGACGACCACTATGAACAATATTATATTTATTGTGCATTTGAGTCTCAGTTCTTATCGACAATTAAATCTTGTCAATGAGCAATATTGCCAACCAATATAAAAGCCAGAAATCAGTCAATTAAAATCTTAAAATCTATACTCACTGTACATCAGGTATGGATTAAGTGGACAAATGAGAAATTACTTCACCAGTCCTTTCTACCTGCAAGAAGCTGCTAACCAATTATGCACAGCTTTAAATAGCGTGTGGAAATAATTACAGTTTCATGTACTCATACATGTACGAGTCAGTGCTCTTACTTATACATATTATTCATTTTTTTAAATGTTAAGTAGAGTGAATAGGCTGTCTACTTTCATTTACTGTGCTATATATGTTACACTAAATTAACCACTGAAGGTGTTATTTATTCATCTGGCACATTTAAATAACAGTGTAAGGTACTGTATCTTATTACTCAAGGATGGATGACCTCAGATTTAAATGAAAGAACTTGGAGTATTTTCTATGGAGTTATGAGACAACAGTTTTCCCCAAAGCCCAAAGCTGGTGCCTCTAGACTGAAGCTTCAGTGTGTCCACAGGTTTAGCAAATGGCCTAATGCCATTATTAATGCCAATGGCCTAATGAGTTAGTAATAAGTACCTATGCCTCTTGTGCTAGGGGAAGGGCTTAAAAGGACTCTAAGGATTTTTAAGATTGACTTAGCAGCTTTTAGAAATGTTCTGGCACAATCGTAAAATAACAGAGTATGTTTTAAACTTCAGCTTAATATAGTTCACATTTGATTTTTATTTCACACCGGATTTCCCCTTTAATGATTCAGTAGCAATGCAAATCCACAGCAGTGTATGAGTCCAGCTTTTGGACTCATTTGGAAAAAAAACTGTTGAGGTAAACTTTTGAAAGACTATTACTTGTCAACTACAGTAATCAAGGCCTTTCTAGAAACCTAAACTTGAATACTCTCTTACCTTATATATGAGTACTTTTGAATTTAACATTTGAAATTTAAAACAGAGCTTTTTGTACTCGGGCAAAAGTAATTTTGTATTTAAAACAAAAATTACTGTATATGAAAAAAGTATTTAGCAGCTAACTACCTATTAATGGCTTTATCTGAAATTCATTGTATAGTGCCTTGCAAAAATACTCACCCACCCCTTTCCAATATACAAATATGATCAAATGGATATTTCAATCAAAAATGTTATACTCAAACTGAACAGTTTTATTGAATAAACAGGATATGTCAGCAAAAACTGCATACAGAAACTAAAATACATTGATTGCATATTCATCCCCTTTTCTGCAACCGACCGCAATAGTTTTGATGTACATAATTACTGTACTTTGACTAGTCACACCAATTACCTGAATGACCTTTATGTGCAGTAACAGTGATTCACGTGATTTCAGAATACACTAGTCTCTATAAGCGGCCTCAGTCAGACAGTGAATTACAAATAAATACTCAATCATGAAGACCAAAGAGCTTTCAAAACAACAGAAGTAAAAAATTTTTAGAAAAGGCATAGATCAGGAGAAGGGTATGAGGAACCCCCAACTGTCCAGGGGAAATGGAGCAAAGTACAAGCAAATCTAAAAGGACAACCCTAGTGGGTCTGTGAAAGACCTACAGATGGGCATTAAAATTCACCTTTAGCTGGACAAAACGCAGGGCTGACTTTACACTGGAATTAAATGAATGTATTCTGAGTGATCTAGTCAAAGTCCTGACTTAGATCAAATAGAAACTCTGCCGCAAGACTTTGAAATTGCTGCCAACCAACATAACAGAGCTTGAAATTGTTTGCAATGCAAAATGGAATAAAGTTACAACTAACTGATGTGTCAAAGCTAGTGGAGACCTCTCCAAAAAGACTAGCAGCTGTAACTGCTGCCAAAGATGCTTCCAGCAAGAATTGACTCAAGGGGGTGACTACTAATGCAATCAACACATTTTAGTATGAGATTGTCTTTACAGCTCTTTCTGGCATTTAACTTTTTACCCTAGAAATTGCATAATTTGAGCATTTCAAATTCTGGTTAAATACATTTTAAAAATATTCCATTTAAAAATGTACTGTATATATATATATCATTTTAAAAACAATTAAAGATGGCATCATTTTAATGGATTAAATATTATTGCAATACACTGTTCATATAACAGAATAACATTAAAAGGCCATGAATAATTATGCACATCACTCTGAGCAGTACTTTGTTACTGAAACCTGCAACAGTTTTTAAAGGCAATTTTTTAGCTCATTTCCATTTTCTTTATGTGAAGTTTTTACTTGACACAACAATAGTTTAAAACAATAAAAGATGCAAAAGGCAACGACATACCTCTGTGACAACACCTGCGGCAATAGTGGATCCAACATAACGCAGCATAAAGCGCCCCAATTCTTTGAAGTCTTTGTAAAGCTCAAGGGACACTGGTCTCTGAGTCTGCAACTCTATTAGTGCATTCTGTCCTTTAGTTAGGCATCTGTAAGTTACAATCCAGCATTAGTTCACAAAAAGCACGATATAAAAAATACTATGACAGAAAAACACCAGCTGAAGGAGATTCCTAAATTTAAACTTTAGACAAAAGTGAAAGAAATGGTATAAACATGTAAAGAGGTGTATCTAAATGAGTAAAAAATCATATTTGTTTATGAAATGTTATCTTCGATGATACCACGATTCATTTTAGAATTTTAAAAATTGCTCCTAGCAACTTTCAGTTTTTAATATACCATGAAACTTTCTAAAGCATATTTCGAGCAATTAAAGATAGAAATTAGCATATGTTAAAAAGTTGCACATATTTCTTTCAGAATGAGTTTTGCATGGAAAGATTTCCCCTTTAACTCAGTCACAAACAGAAAATAAACTTCTTACATGGAAACTCAATATAGAACTGTAACCACACAATGCTTAATTAATTCAAAACAACTGACAGCAAAATGTTTTCCCCAGATAGAAAATCTGGGAACCTTACTTTGGCTTTTTCTTTAGTACTTCGCCAGTACTTTTGTGCAGGACACTCACAAGCTTTCTTATAGTGGCTGGCTCACTTACAGTCTGATAGTGCAGCAACACCTGAGGGAGAAATGCCAGATGCAAAATAGATCTTACAAAACAACATAGATTTAATAATCCCTTCATCATCACTTTCCTGGACAGGTTATTAATCTTATTATTTTTAAAACTAAATCTAACAGTTTTGTACATCATGTATTAATAGTTTACTTCACAAACATATCATTGTCACCAAACAGCAGGTCTTACAGGAAATCCTTGTGTAACTGGGACATCGATGTTGAAAAGCAGGATTCTGGCCCGGAACCGAGTGCAGGCTTTGATGGGTTCCTTTGGATCACAGAACACGCAGCCAACCCTGAAATCACAAACTGAATTTTAACATTTGTTTCCCTTTCTGTTCTCTTTATTATTAGTTATTTATTTGGCTGAGGCTTTTATCCTAAGCATTATTTTACTGGAGCAATCTGCATGAACTACTTTGCTCAAAGATACAATAGCAGTGCTCCATCTTGGATTTGAACTCACAGAATTTCACATACTCCACGCTGCTGCCTCTGCCTCCTTATTAAATAAACAATGTTATCTGACAACCAGTGCATGCAAAAAAAATATATATTCAGAAGTTTTATAGCACAGTGTTTCTATTTAAAACATACACACCTCCTCTGAGAGCAAATAAGGAGTGCAGGCAGAGAAGGAGGTGGTTCTTAAGCAGACATTTTATACGTCAGACCCCTTCCATCTAATATACTGTACACTACTGCTTTAATCATTTTCCAACTAAAATACAATCCTATACTGTTAGAAACACTGCACGCAAATTCACATCCTAATGTGCCTGCAGCATATAATATTCTATTTTACATATTACTTATTTTTAAAGACAACTCGAAAAGATTGCTGAAATGAGTGATAAGCCACAAATTCAAGGGCTTACAGAATACTTCAGTCTTCTTCACTGCTCTGTGGTTACACCGTAAGAGTGAAATCATCGTTTTTAACTATAATACCAAATATAGCAAAGTGTTCAACTGTCCACTGGGGCCTGGGTGGAGACGCACACACATAAGCGGCGACTGCCAGCCGTCAAGGAAGAGTTTGAGGAGTGATGCACACTTCTGCACTGTCATCGGTACCCCGAGAGGTGGCACAGGACAAAGTGCCAGGAAGTGATGAAATGAGTGTGCACTAACTTGATTTTGATGATATCCATGCCAGTCACAGTGAGACTAACGTGATCCCCAGCGGCTGCCCAGTCGATTGGCTCATCGTGCAGTGAGATTCCTGGAAATGAGCAATAACAAGAACTGCTTGGTCAGTAGAAGTCAGTCTTAAGGTAAAGATAGTTAAAACTTTCATACCTGCCTCAGTGTGCTCTGACTCATCAGATTTCACTATGAACTGACAGGAAGAAAAAAAAAACATGCTTGTTATGCAACACTGTCCAAAAGGCAGCACCATACTCTTTACACAGGGTCTTCAGCATGTGTAAAGCCTTCTGCAGCTCTAAACTAAAGCAATACTCCTAAGTAATGATAGAACTCGTACATTGTGAATCACATTTCTTTCAATTTAATGTAAAGGCCCTTATCAAACAGCAAGTGAGCTAAGACGGGTAAAAAAAACAATCACAATTTCTTCATGAAGTTTTTCCCCTTTTCTTTCTTTAACTGTTTTTTGAGTACAGATGGTTGTTTCTCAACTCCTTCCCATGCCATCTCTTTTAACTGACTGCAACAAGCTGCGGCAGGGAATCTTACATCACGACCGGGCAACTAACTGGTTAACAAGTACAGCTCATCAGGTCGCTTCCTTCTAGTGCACAAAATAATGTCTGCTAGCATGAAGTAACAACACCATAAACTAGGACTCGACAACTGTCCTGGCAAAAAAAATATTGATCAATGGCTCTGTACCCTTTTCCAAATAAATAATTAAACCCCCTTAAGTCATTTGCCTTATTTACAGTCCAATTCTAGTTTGGAAATCTCCATACCTTACACAAAACATGCATAAATAAAACAGTGTTCAAGTCATCCAGCCAACGCTATGTATTGAAAAACAACCTGATTTCTCAATTAAAATCAATAACATACTATTAAGTTCTGCTGACTTGATAACAACTGACATTAGGTGAATTCAGTGCGGCAAAGTACAATTCTGTAGCAAAGTAAATACAACCATAAATGGGAGACAACAGGGTGAACCTAGAGGTGTACAAATTTACCATTTTTTGTATTTGTCCGCCTAATCAAAAAAAGCAATCAAGTTAAACTGTTTGGTAGGGAAGTCCCATTGCTACATAAATTTCCATGCGATGAACCTGAAGAATCTTTGAAGGCTGAGAGCCACTTTTGAATTTGTGATTAGGAAACATCAAACCCTTGATTACTTCAGTTATGATGCCGACTAACTTTATGCTAACCTGAGCAAATTACTGAATCCCTGCGCGCTCTCTATTGTATGTGGTGTACATGTTTCTCAGTAGCTGCAGGTTTATGTGAATAAGCAGCTTTTGAGTTTTGGGATTCTCTTTCTGCAGATTGAGAACGAAATTCTCTGCATTTCCATGAGAGCTTTCTCTTTTTTGCCTTGGATTCTGTGTAGTCCAAAGATATGCTGGCGAGGTTAACTAGTGTCTTTGAATTGTCCCTGTATGAATCTATGCGTGTGTGGGCTCTGTGATGGACTGGCATCCTGTTAAGCCCTATTAAGTACATTGCCATTATATACAGTACATTGGGCTGCCACAGCCTTTACCAGGAACAAGTAGCTTCCTAATAATGGATGTATGTATAGATTATTATATAAAGATCATTTACTTTTCTTTCTTGGACAAAAGAGGTCGCTGTTGTTACATAGCAATACTATCTTTATACTCAATACTTCAACTGCTCCTTATATGAACACAGATATTACAATGTTAACATCTTGACTGGACAAACTATTTTAACTCATGCTGTAGTTTCCAAAACAAAACATCGTTTAGGTAAAGTGCTAACTTCTGTTCGAGTTTTAACTTGAAACATTAACTCGTCAAAGTTAATGCAATACCTTTTCTATATAGATAACAAAGAAATGCAATTAAATAAATGGTGGGAAAATCAAGATGGAGGTAATAATAACACATATGAGATTTCTCTTGGCTTAAATGGTTTAGATGCACATAAAATAATAACGTCAACAGAGAAAATACAACTCATGCAGATTTATCCTAGTACAACATAAACAATCCCTCAGTATTCACACTGACAGTAGTACCTTTCACAGTGCATGTTTCATTTGGAGGCACAGCCAGGATCCGGTCACCAGTCTGAATGTAGCCTGCTTCGATTTTGCCAGTAACACAAAACCCCGACCCTTGGTCTGTAAAGAAGTGAAAATCTTGTCACAAAGGCTTCAAAATGCATATTTTGAAATCGTTAACTGCATTTTTAAGAGGCATCATTGGAAGGTTTCACACACCAAAATCAGCTATACTCCTTGATTTGTATACCTGAAATAACATTAGGCTAAAATTAGTGCTAATTAGGGTGTGTGAAGCCACTGCGCCGGGAACCACCCAAGTCTCCCTATAATGCAAACCTTTGAACACGTCAGATACACAGAGCCTGAAAGGTTTATCCACTGCTCTTTTTGGTGGCCTGAAAGAATCTAAAGGGAAAGAAAAAACAAAATGCAGCAATCAAAAATCAGAAATGAATGCTTAAAGAACGTCTTAAAAGTTTTATTTTCTCAATTGCAATGCAAGATTCAGGAAATCTCTAAATGTCAATTTGAAAATGTGTCATGATAATTTTAGTTTTCTATTATCATATCTTTAGCAAAACCCAATGTTTTAATGAATGAATAAACACTTAAAAGGGTCTAATACTTCAAGAGGTTGTTAATTACTTTTAAAAATAAAATTTAGACTTGTCAAGTTCCTAAATCAAAATAAATAGATTTCTACCCACCTATTTGTTCAAGAAGGCAAGATCCTTTGTACCAAGCAGTGAGCTCAGGTACTTCACTCCTAGTTGTCAAATTTTCACCAGAGAGTCCACTGGTTGGTATGAAAGACACATCGGAGTCCTTCAAAAAATCAGGTAAGATGCATATAAGTTGCTTCGTGCTCTAAATCATTTTATGGACAGGCAAAAATACCTTCATATCTGTTTTAATAGCCATGCAATTATTATGTTCAAACCATGTATCAAATACTAAGGGACTCTCTATGCAGCAAATATTTATCTTGTTTTACTATGGGAATGTTCTTAAATAGTACAAAAAGGATTGGATTTAAAAAACCAAATGCTTTTTACCTTAAAGCCTGCTTGCTTCAAGAACTGACTGAGTTTAGCATGAATTTCCTGGAACCGGTCTTTTTGCCAGTTCACCTGTGAAAGACATGTGTTAGTATCACTGGGAAAAAAATGTGACAGGGCCAATGGTGAGAATTTTCTCACCAAACACAGGAAACTGTGGCATACACTGCAGCTCAGTGATAAGCAGCGAAGATTGATATCAGCCTTACCTGATCCATTTTGTTGACAGCAACAGCCAGCTGGGTGACTCCGAGAGAGCGCACCAGGAGCCCATGCTCCCGAGTCTGTCCGCCCGCTTCAAAGCCTGCCTCAAACTCCCCCCGACTGGCATCTACCACAAGCACTGCCACGTCCGCCTGCAGGAGAAAGCCAGACAACAGCATCAGCACACAGGCCCCTCTCACACTCAACCCCGGCAGAACTGTGGCCAACTAAACTTACCCACACTGCCAGAGATCACCTGTAACAAGTGAAAGATTATTAATAGTCTTGTTAGATTATCAAGAGAAACAAAACACTGTTAATAACACTTCGGGGAGAAAGGCCCTGTGCATCACACTGTTGTCTTCACCCATTCCATACCCTTTTAACTTTCTAAATAGTACTGAATTGAATATGGATCAATTACAAAAGACACTAACGAGGAAAATATATACAGCACAGAAAAAAAGACCTTTAGAAGAGAATCTCAATTAGCAAACATGGTTACATAATCAAAAAAACAGTGTGAGAACTAGCACGTGACAATCTCTTAGTGGCTGGTGCTCACCATAATGACTTAGAAAACTTTCTGCCAAAAAACCCTTTTGTCATCTTTTACCACATACTTACGAGGGGAAAGAAAATGCAAGACTGAAGCAAACCTTGATGATCTACATATTAAAAACATGTCTGAATTCAAAGATTAAGATGAACAGTTTCAATATTTCTGAAAACTATGGGGGCAAATCCCATTTTTGAACCCTATGTTCAATTTTGGTCATGACTTTACAAAAGAGAGGGAGTACAGATAAAAATGTACAGATAAATGTACTTCCAGACTTCAATTCTTCTGCATTATAAATCTGGAATGACCAGGAACCAGGGGGACTGGAACCCAGAGCCAGAGGACATGCCAAGACAGAAACACATGAGACCAAGAACAAGAGGCACTAGGTTTTTCTTTCCTTGGAGGGTGGTGGATACGTGAAAGAATATTCCAAACCTTGCTCTGACAAGTACAGGGAAATTTAGGAGAAACACAAGGCAGAGTACACTAAACTTTCCCAAATGAACACTGAGGATGCAGTCCATTTAATCAAAGAAAAACAAATATATCATGTATTTACCTAATTGCCCTTTAAAAACGTACTGTATTTCCTTTTAACCAAATGCAACACTTTTTTCTTTCAAAAAATGTGAAAACTTACTACCCACTTAAAATGTTTGTCTTTTCATTCTTGTAATCTCTTTTCAAGAAGATACCTAGTGCCTATTTTTATTCTTAATCTTTAAGGCTGAAAGTCATTACAAGAACAATATAAGAAAGTGTGCTGAGTAATTAATTTGCAAACAGTTCCTAAAGGCTTTTAATTCATTTGTCTACCGAAAATGTTATTTAATATTTACATTTAATACCCATTGAGTACATATCTAAATGAAACAAAAAGAGAGCAATATTGTGCACTTGGTGTGGCAAAAAAAACTGTAATAAACACCAATTATGTTAAGTGCCATTGTGCTCTCAACCACATCTTTAACAAAATTAATGAAATCTTGACAATGTTTTTTAAGTGTTCTTTGAAATTGATAACATAACAGCCATAACAGCCAAAATGGGCTCCTCTTGCTCTGAATGTCTCAATTATTTTGCAATACCTGAGCAGCCCCTGTGATCATATTGGGGATGAAGTCTTTATGACCTGGTGCATCCATCAATGTTATCACCTTCGTCTTGGTCTCAAACTTTGTCATTCCCACATCCATGGTTACGCCTCTGAAAAAAGCACAGGTGACAGAAAGTCAATCAAAGAAGACAGAGAATGAAAATGACAGTATCCGTATCTACTGACAGCGATCCAAAAGCACTAAACATGCAGTATTTCTCTTATGAGATTGTTTATACAGAAACTCCCCAAACAAAATTAAGTCTGTTAAAGAACCTAATACTCAACTAGGTATTCAGATCTTTAACAAATGTTTTACATTAAACAACATTAAATACTTATTTAAATGTTAACTGCTTCTAAATCGTTAAAGAGGCTGCCACAGGTTTCCCCTTTATTTCACCATATCACTAAGATCCTCCTAAGATCTCACTTTGTATTTGGAACAAAGCTGTGTTATTTTAGGCAAAGGTACCTCTCTCTCTCTTCTCCAGTTTCGTCCAGTACCCAAGCATATGCAAAGGAAGCCTTCCCAGCCTTTTTAGACTCTTGTTCATACTTGTGCATTGTTCTTTTGTTGACATTGCCCAGCAGGTAGAGAAGATGACCCATTAATGTGCTCTTACCAGCATCCACATGCCCTGTGAGATAGACAGGACAATTGAATCAGTCCCAAAATTTAACGTGCAGTATACCCCACTGTATTTATTAAATGGTGCTGATCTCATCTACAACAAATACATTAACTTCTGAATCTGAAGAGGGAGTCTATATGGTGGATTCCATTTGAATAAGATAAATCTAGCTATATGGCATTCTGTTTTTCATTTTATCCATTTCAATCTACCTGAATACATGTCACATGTAAGATCTGAAAATAAGTTCATTTCTGAAGTCCTCAAAGGGCTAGGATTGGTCACCCCAGCTACAAGAATTATTTGTATTTTTATAAATCCAGGATACTTTCATCCTTCACTTCGAAAGTAATCCAAGCACTTATAAATTCCACAACTTTTTCTTAAGGTGATGTCTGAATTTTTAAAAGAGGAACACGGAAAACAGGAAATTCACCTTATTCAAAACGAGTGAAAAGCCTATGTATCCCGCTTGGAACCATTACACTGTGTGTGTGTATATGTGTTTCAGAACAATCACACTGCGGTACAAACATACCAATTACGACAAGGTTCAGAAGAGGCTTCCCTCCCTGCCTCTTCTCCAGCTCAGCTTTGACATCGATCTGCTGCTTGGCTTTGCTGGATGTCTTGATGGGTGTCGGCACGGCGGGGGCCTCCTCAGCGGCACTTTGGCTAGAAGGGACGGAAATGGCAGCTTTGGAGGGCGTGCTTGGAGCTACTGCAGCCTGGGAGTCTTCAGAAGCTGCTGGCCTTTGTGGTAGAGATCCAGGAACATCACTGTCTTCAGTGCTAGAAGACAAACCACAACACTGATAGAATACACTTGCTCTTGCCAAAAGAATGCATCAAGGGCATGGCTTTATTTTCTTTCAGGAATCATTTCTGAAGCTGTGGAAAGCCTCACTTGGGTAAAACCACCAAAGCGTCTACTGAAACTTTCCCAGTCTGGCCAACTGATACTTTCCTTTCCAGTTTTATTGTCTTAATGAGTTAATCACTCAAACCTCTATATTGTTGTCTTAACTCAACTTGCATAACATGAGGTGAAGCGAGGATCCTCCTATCTGTAAAACACTTTGGATCCTTTAGCATTGAAAATACTAGATAGTTGATATGAATGATTATTGTTGTGAGACTGAAACACTTCCTTTAACTAAGTAATGTAATTTCTGTTACACTGAGTACTCCTCATGTTGCACACTTTATGCTGCATAGTAAGGGCAATTGTTTTTCTTTATATGTACACCTTTGTGTACTGTATATTGACATAAAAATGGTGGAAACCAAAGTCATCCAAATTCCAGTCACCTTGTGAATTACAGTATGTTAAATACCCTTCAAATTAAAAATGACTCCATTACAACTATCTAGTTAATTTCATTGGCAAAGTGAAACAATTTTCAGCCAGCCATTTCTTGGGAGAGCCAAAAGCATTTTCCAGACACCCACAAGAAGCGTTTCCCATTTTCCTTCCTAAATAAATATCCTGTTTTTACCTCAACTGTGACCTTGTCCTTGTTTCACTGCTGAGCCAGAATAGGACCTTTGGTTGAGCTGTCTATACCACTTAGGATTGCAAACACTTGGATCAGATTTCCACCCTTTCTCCTCTGTTCTCGACACAAACCTTTTACTTGTCCATTTACCGTATGACAATCCCCTGACCACAAGGTCAGTGGTCAGGTCTTTGCATTCCTGTTTATTGTTAGAACAATATTCTAAATGAGGTCTTAATAGCATAAGTCTTGAGCATACTTTCCCTTGATTTTCATTCAACACCTTCTGCTATTAAGTATTCAGTTTGCCTCCATTTGCTTCACCACACGGTCCTGGTGAGGACACAGATGCACAAAAGACAACATAAACACCCAGATCTCTATTGTGTGTAGTTTCCTGCAGCTGAGGATCCCCTATGTGATATGAGCAGAACATGTTTCTGCTTCCTTTGTGGATCACTTTGCAGTTTTCAGTATTAACTGTTCTGACAACTGTCTGATCGACCTATAACTTTGTAATTCCCTTGCTGCTGCTTCTGCGTTAGTCACTTCCCCTTTTACATTACTTAGATTGGCCCAATTAGAGGTTTTGGTCCCTAGAAAAAGATGCGGTTTCCTGTGTTTAATTTATGTGCAAACATGACATGGGATTCCCAATGCTTTTATTCTGACAATTTACATTTTATGATGTAAAAAAGGTCCTCATAAAAATCTTTCAGTAAATCCAGATATACACAGAGATATCAACTGTCACTGATTCTTATTCAACAAGTACTAATTAATAAGATTTAATCTTAAATTAATCTTGGCTCCTTCTTAAAATGACATTGCTCTGAAAGTATTCTGCTAATTTAGCTGTCTTGCAGCTTCCTGAAACAGTTTTTCCTTTTTTTAGTTAATATTAAATTTTCAAATCTCCAAACTGCATATACAGCCCCCATCCTAAGTGAGAACCTTTACTTTAAGTACAACTGGAAAACTACCATCAGCGCCAAGTCATGTATTAGGCTTAAGCAGAACTACCATCAGCAGAACAGTCAGTTACGCTAAAATTACTAAAATAGTGATTGAGGGATGTTATTATTATTGACATCTTCTACTACAAAAACCCACAGTTAATATTAATTTTGCATATTTGCGTATTTTCTTTTTTGCCTTTTATTACTAATTCCCTTTGTGTTGTAGCTATTTTCTCATTCTTTTACAGTTTTTAAACATTTTTCCAACTTTGTTTCCATCTTTCAATTTTGAGCTCCTTTTACGCAGATTGCAGAGCGCTCTCTTCCTTCTCATTTTTTTTCTGAATTTTGTTCCATTTACGATTTTCTGCTCAAAGAGCTCTTAGTGATTTTTAACATTACCTGACATTTGTACACTCTGCAGAGTAATGGCCAATTATACTTGTAACAATAATGGCCAACATAAAAAAAGGAGTTGATAACTGGTCATTATGGCATTTAAAACATTACAGTTACACATTTACAGTCTTCACAGTTGACATTTAAATTTAGAACACAAATGTTTAAGAAAAAAGGTCACTTGCTTCTGCTTTACTTCCCACACCACTGAGAAATAACAAAAGTGATAAGTACAGGAATAAGTGAAACTGAATATCTAAAGCCATTCTGCAGCAAATTATTAATCTGGGGCATCTAAAAAGATTTTAAGTGTCTTGCACGAGGGAGAAAGTGTTAACAATGAGCTGCATAGACCAAACTTAAATGGACATTTACATTGTGAAAGACAAAAGTATGTCCTCTATGTGCATAATCTACTTATGTAAATTCTGTACAAAAGTAGGACACTTAAACGCTTGTCCTTATTAACACAAAATATGCAATTTTATAATAAAATATGAACATTTTCTTTCAATTTAGCATTCCTGTATTGCGTAAAGTTATGCTATGGTTTCATTAGTTGCACACCTGAGGCACACAGTTTCGGAGACTTTAAAGTCTCACATTGTCCAGTGCTAGTGTTAAAACTAACCCTCCAGAACAGGCTCTAGACTGAATGGGAGGAAGCTACAGGTGAGGGTGTTTACGCTGCCTTAAAAGGAAGGGTCTCAGCATATAAACTGTACTTTACTGTCTGTGATTATGACCCATCATTCATTCTCCCTTTCAGCCATGAATACAGAATGTGCAAGAAGAAAATATCACATATTCAATTAAAAGGTTAATTGAGGGCAAACCCCGTCTGTACTGTATATGGAAAACAGCTTGAACCACAATTTCTTCCTTTTCCTTCCACCAACTCGCGATACGATGATACCAATTTAAACTCTGGAGAGAGCACAAGACAAGATAATATTAATCAAATTCATCAAAGATAACTATATTTGTTGCAGGGTTTAGGGTTGTCTATTAATTTTCCAACATATAATTTTATATATTATAAAATTACAACTAACAATCACATGCATATGCCCATAAACAATTTAAAAAAAAAGAACAAAATGTGCTAACAATTCTGGCAGTTCCTTCGAGCATAATTAAAAATAAAAACCATAGTTCTAGCTAAGAATATTCATTATAATTTCAGTGACTTTATAAAGTGGCTAACCCAAACATAAATCATAGGAGTATAAAGCAAGATTATATCATAACTTTGGCCTGTCATCACTCTTAAATTATAAATGAGCCCTCGACAGCAGTTTGATGTTCAATAGTGGCTTCTCACATCTACCAAATGAAAAGATTGTTGTCAATTATATTGCTTGGAATTTGGTTTTAGTGAGATAATTCTTGATTTTAATCTGGCTTAAACCAGTTTTATAACATGTGAGTCTCAAAACCTCTTGAATCTTTTGGCTTCAGATTTTTAATTTTAAATCTGTATTTGTAAAAAACAGAATTACTAATGAATCTTGAGGCTTCTGAAACAGACATATATCTAAACGAGTAAACCAAATAATTTTAAAGAAATCTTTTAATTAGCTATGACTACCAAACAGGAAAATGTGTATCATTTAACTAAAGGACTGGACTGGTTAGCTAAAAGACAAATGCTCTCATAGCATTTCCTCCTGGTCAGGACTACTAATTCCCTTGCAGAGGATTTTTACAGACCATCATTAAGTTTATAAGTAACATAATGGGAAAAACTCCCAAGGCATGTATGAAAATACAAATAGAAAAACAATGAAGTCACTAGCAATTAGCTGTAACTTGGCATAACTTGACACTGGCATATACTACTAGGGCTTAATATTATGCTTTTTTTCAGCTGTAATTACTTTTTCAGTTTAGTAAGATATAGTATAATGCAAAATGATGGATATAGGGTTAAAACCTTTTAAAATAATGCACTACATGATGCTAAAAAGAGTAAGTCAAATTATGTTCTGTAATACACTAGATGAACAGCATTTACCTTGGAACGTCGAATCCCATTGTCTGTTTTTTTCCAGAAACAGTCATTCTGGCAACTTTAGGAAGAACTTCTGAATCAAGCTTATTTGTAGGTGGATCAGTAGATCTTCCTAAAAAATACAAACAGTTGTTGCTAAACTCTCAAGCAGTACTACCGGAAACAATTTAAATGTATTCTATTCAAACAATCTCAGAGAAATATCTGTATAATGTATCTGGTGGGAATAGAGAGCAATCTGATGCAAAACAGTTGCAAAAAAGAGGTACTTTACTGATATAATCTATTTAATAGAAATATGTATATCTAGTGTGCATTTAGAGAAGAAAAAATAGAAAATAAAGTGAGAAATGCTAATCTAATTACCCTGATCTTATTTAAATTTGTGCCAAGATAAAAATACCACCTAACAGCAGGGACAGGCTAAGAGGAATCAATTAGGATTTAAAGATAAGCATTTAAACTTATGATAGTCTGTTTTGTTACACATGATCCTTATTATGAATGTCAAAATACCCTTTCAAATGTTTAATGTAACCTCACCACTGACACGTGAAAAATACAAACATATTATAAAAGCTGCTTTAAAATTTATTACATCAAAAATATAAAATTTACTGATATATTCACAGCAGAATAATTGTGAACATATAAAAGCAAAATCAAAGATGCATAAATAAAATTAAGCTTTGCAAGCAGTAATTTAAAACTATTTTTATCTTATTTGCTATCCTATAGATGAGCAAGTATGTTACCACTTTTTTAAATGACGTTTTCCTCAACTGAAAAACATCTTGCACTTAACAGTATGTTTTTCACAGATGCACAAAGCTAAGCTCCTGAGGTCACCTTTCCAGACCTAGCTAAAGTCATAATGACACTTTGACTCATCAGTGTGTTTTACAAGGTGTCATTCTGGTTGCTATTTGACCAAAAAGGGTGTCTAGTAAGGAAAGGGTTAATTTCTTATCCATCACTGACAGTTACTTTACATTTTAAAATAGAACAGTGACAACACGGTTCATAAAATGAGTTTCAAATTATGTTTTTCTCACATTCACATAAAAAAATGATGAGATTAAAAAAATGATTTTCAAGAAGACATAAGCAAAATGTTTAAAAAAACAACCATTCTAAGCTTATACTAAATTTAATTTAATTTAAACTAAATGACTTGACTAACACTTCTTTAAAAGCAATGGTTTGTGCTCATACATACTGTACATGTAATCATCAAAATATACAGCACATGGTTAACTATTTAAAAGTTAGATCCTCCATGGATCAAAAATTGGATCATTTATTGCCCGCTGGTGTTAAAAGAGAGCAGAAAGAGATGTTTGCATCTCCACATACTCTCAGGCTGTCAGTCCATGGAAGGGGTGGCAGGAGAGGGGGATGTATTGCTGCCCAGTGGAAAGACATGTTCATTCATCTAAGCAGGTAATGTTAGACACCAGCCCTTTTCTTCATCCACGGTGTGTTGGCTCTGTGGCTAAGGATCTGTGCCTGTGGCTGGAAGGTTGCCGGATCGAATGCCGCAGGTGGCAGAGGAATCCTGCTCCATTGGGCCCCTGAGCAAGGCCCTTCACCCCAACTGCTCTAAGGGTGCCATATAAATGACTGACCCTGCGCTCTGACCCCAAGCTTCTCTCCCTGTCTGTATGTCTCATGGAGAGCAAATTGGGGTATGCGAAAAGACAAATTCCTAATACAAGAAATTGTATATGTCCAATAAAGTAATCTTATCTCTTATCCAAGACACATACAGAACTGCTTTATACACTGATTTCTCTGGGAGAAAATTAAGCACATGCTGTTATTAAAGCCAAACTTCACAGTACTGTTGTTTAACACAACTTGTTAATGTTCATGCACTTTTTCCACATTGAAGGACTTACTGTATTGTACCAAGGCGTTCTCAAAGTCCCTGACATTACGATGTTTGTGAAAAATGAAATACTAATGAAATATTGCTACACATTAGCAACACATATCTACAGCACACGTTAAGTGCTTAACCTAAATTTTGAAGACAAAACAAACATTTTCACCATAGTAAATTTGACTTCCAGAAGGGAATTCTGGACAAAAAACAATGCATAAAAAGGAACAGGTACTACTAAGAATTTCCAATATACAACCTCATAATAATTCTGAAATGAGGTTAACAGGAGAACTTGCAAGGTGGAGTGATTCTGTTTTTAAGGTCAGAATGATACATACTGTAAGGTGAGCAGCTGCAGCTTCATCCTCAGAAATGATTGGAATTAATGGTTAAGTTTTGTGTTTTTTCTTTTTTAATTGGAGTGGATGCAAACTTGGATTTTGTAGCCAGTACATATAAGACAGCACAGGGAATTTCTCCACATTCTCCACAGAGACATTAGGACAGAAGAAACAATATCTGGTTAATGCAACAGAAATCAAATGACTGCAATGAAACTGTATGATAAAAAAAAATGTTAGACATACTTAAACTACAGTTAAATACTTAACCATTGTGGGAAAAGGCACACACCAACAAGTACAGTATATTTTTAACATGTAGCATTTTAAACAATAGAAAAAATGCAATTTCTGTTATTAAACCAACAATTAACTTAATTTTGATTTTCTTTTTTAATAGCTGAAGGGAAAGGATTTATAAAAGAGAGAAAAACAAACTGATATTAAAAGTAGGGCTGTCTTAATTCTAACTGCCTTAATACAAAAAAATTCAAATAAAAACAGTCGGAAAGGTACAAGTGAAACTGCTTAGTCAAATAAAAAGGAAATTAGAAAGAAATATACTTATGTTTTGACTTTATTCAGCAATACATGACTAAGGTACCTGAATGTTAAACACCTTAATTCAAACTGTAAATAAGACTGCAATTTCTTTTGTTGAACACAGCAGTTAACACTCACTTGAGTTAAATTCATGCAAAGGAAATGACTCAGAACCACTGGGAAGCCTGGTGAAAGATTATTCAACAATACAACAGTTAACCCATTCTGATGAATCACTGTGTACTGGATTCCTCACTGCAAGCCTGCCCTTAAATATTTTGCATGTATCAAATTTCTTAATTTGATTTCTAATGTCTAAATCATATTCTGAGATGCATTAAAAAGAAACAATGTCGTTGGTTCCTTGGCTCTCAGAAAAGAATTAAACAGAGGTGTTACAAAAAAGGAAAACCTCATATCCTCAGGCATCATTCAACTCCTACAAAATATGAAAAATAATGTATGCACTCCACAATTAATTATACCCCTAGTGTATAAACATTAAACAAAAACATTTGACATGCTATAGGGTTCTGGCACTTATGAAGGAGATTTTTGACTATTCCTTTGGACTCTTTGGTGGTCGTTTGTGACCAGCCTTCGTGAGTTTGAACCACAAATGCTTGATTGGATTGAGATCTGGAAATGGTGATGACCAGTCAGGAACAATTATTTTGCATGCAGTCAACCATTTCCTTGTGAATCTGGATCTAAGCTTTCTTTGGATCATCGTCATACTGAAATGTCCATTTTTGGCAAAGTTTGTGCTTCTTGGAACAGAGAGCTAGGCGTTTAGACAAAAGTTCCTGGTACATGTTGGAGTTCATGATTCCACCCGTCTTGGGGCTCCAGGACTTGTAGACACAAAACAACCAAGAAACATAATAGACTCTACACCACCTTTAACAGCGGGTTATAAGCGATTCTCAGCACTAACTTGGCCTTCTTAACACCAGACATAACACTGATGAGCACGTCCAAAAGATTTTGGAAACTTTCTGTTTCATTGTTTTATAAGACAAGGGTTTCCAATCCTGGTCCCAGAGGCCCACACACCTGCTGGCTTTCATTACAGCTGAGCTTAATTACTTAATTGAGCTAACAGGTTGCTTGATTGGAACATTTGCAAGTTTTTTTCTACCCACTCAAAGGTTTGGAATTCTATGTTACTTATGAAATGCAAGATTAAAAAAGGTGACATCCAACACATTTAACAGCCGAAAACAGTTCAAAAGATTCCTGTTATTAAATCAATCAAGAGTTCAACTGTTTAACTGCGAGCTGGTATGTGGACCTTCTGGACCAGAATTGGGAACGTGGACATGGTTCCAACTGTCCCTCAGATGTAGGTGGCAAATTCAAGTCGCCTCTTTTTGTGGTGCTCAGAAGAAGCTTCATCCTTAGTACCCAGTCCTGAATGCCATATTGAAACCGGCAATGCCAAAAGACTCCAAGTCTTGCCTTGAATTTACGGTTGCCTCACAAATCGTTTGTCTTGCAGCCTGTGCCGACAATTGTTTCCAATTTCTGCATACCAATAGCCTTAATTGTCTTAATAATGGACAGCAGTTATACACTAAAGTTGCAGATTTAGTGGAGTTTCTTATAGTCATCCTTCAGCTTGTGGAGGTCAATGGCCATTTTGCCTACAGAGCACTTGTCTTCGAAGAGCTTTCAGTTTTGAACCAAGATGATAGATGCTACTGCTACAGTAAGTGTTTTCCATGTGTTACCTCCTTTTATACCCCAGGGAAACAGGAAACCTCAGAGGCCTTTGTATAGTTCTGGAGGACTTCCAAGTATCCCAAAGAAACACTGGTATTTTCAATAATTAAATTATGACAAATTTTACTTTCCTCTGAGCAATGCGATGCGATTATCATTAAAGTATAACATTTACAGAACTGTTTTAAAGTAAGGAAATTATTCAACTTAATCGGCAACTCATTCTGTGAAGTGATATATGTTTGTAATTCTTCAGGAACATGAATAAATCTTAGGTGCACTGTACATGGTAATGGCTATTCAGCCTGAGCTGATTAATACTTAGAACCTGACTAGTCCAGTTTTTATTTCTATTATAAATAGTAAAGCTTGTTCTTTAAAATTAAATGAACTTTGTTTCAAACAAGCCAAGATAATAAATTATCTTTAAGTTACAAGACATAAATGGACAGCTTAACCAGCCTCAGTGATTAAACAACATTTTGGGTGAGTTTTCTTCTACAACCAGCTGGAACTTGTTCCTAGTCAATTGTTAGCTGTCACTTTATCTTAACCCTTTATGACTTAAGGTGACTGTTAGGCTCACCACATAATAAGCTTTGTTATGCTCACTGA